GTAGAATATAATTGATTAGTAATAAAATCTGATCCTTTTTTAAAAAGCTAAATAAAAAATTATTTGTGATAAATTTAAATTAAACATTCTTTATTAATAAATTATAAATCTGTAAAAATTCTTGTATATCTTTAATACAGTCCTATTCATCATCTAAAAGAATATATTTATTAAGGTTTTTATCAGCTAATACTATATTATGAAAAGAATTTTTAAGTAAAATAGCTCTTTTTAACATAATTTTTGTAGAATTCTAACAAGTTTTAATATCTATTATTAATTCTAATTTTTGAAAGTTTTAATTCAATACATTATCGAGAAAAACTTTTATGTCATTGAGATGAAGCATGAATTTTTACTATTAATTTTCTAAGCTAAATAATATATTAAATAATTTAATTATTATTAATAAAAATTACTTTTAAAATTACTTTTTATTAAAAAATAAAAAACTTACTTTATATATAATATTTTTTAACTGTTTATCAGTTTCTATTTCTTTATTTAAAATACTTTCATTATTTAGACCTAATGCATAAAGATTTTTAAGTACTTTTTATATATCTATATTAATAATATGTACAAGACATCTAATATATTGATGATATGAATCAAACTCAATATTTTGTTTATTTAAATTTAAAGAAATTTATTTTAGCATTTTATTCATATTTAGTACATTATTACATACAATTGCTAAAATCTAAGATTAAAATATAAAATTATTAAAATATAAATATAGAAATTACTTTTTAATTAATTTATATACTTTAGTTGAAAGATTAAATTCATGTAAAACTTCTAAAAATTTATTTGCTAAATTTTCTTCAGAATATGAATCTGATAATTAACAAAAATCTAAAATAATATTTTGCATTTGCCAATCATTATTAATCCAATGTATTGAAATTCAAAGAAAAGAAAATTGATTTTTACTTGTTCAACCATTAATTATAAATGAAAATAAACTAGTTACTTCCTATAATTATCTAATATATATATTAATATTTAATTATAATAATTATTTTATTAATAAAAATAATTACCTGTAATATTTGATAAATATTCTCTTTTGTAAAAATTACATCTAAATTAGATTGTAAAGTATCTGCTAATAGTATCATTAAATCAAATTTTAAAAAAGATAACATATCTTTAAATTTTTGTCCTTCAACAACTGTAAATGTTTGATTATCAATTACTATTCAATTAAGTAATTTTTTTCTAAATTCTTATAATGAAAACTTTTCTTTTTGTATTATTGATTTACTTTCAAGTATACTTTAATGATTATTTCTCATATATCTCCATAATGCTGAAGTAGCTTTATCACTAAAAGTTTTTGCTATTATATAATAAAATTTAATTAAAATTAATTAATATTTAACTTAAATATAAATAAAAATATACTAACTTGCAATAATTGCAATTCTAATGATGTGTTAAAGAATCTAATTTAAAGTATTGATAAATTTCAGAAGTTCTTTTTTTGTAAATTAAAGATTCTTCTTGTTTATTATCAGCTTGATATTTAATTAAATATTTTGATTGCTTTATGATATAATTAAATTTGAAATAATTTTTTTTAAAATAAAAATAATAAATAATTTTAGAATAACTATTCAAAATGATACTAAAATTACAAGCTTTTTTATTTATTCAATATAAATAAAAAACTTTAAAAAAAAAATTACTGAGGTGATTCTCTTTAAGAAATAAGCCACAAAGATTAATTCTTTCAAAGAAAACATTTTTAGAAGTATTTTTCTTGAGAAAAAATACCTTTAGAAGTGCAAATCTATAGAAATCACCTTAAAGGCATTTTCCTTTAAAATTTCTGACAAAGGAACATCTCTGGATGCGATTCCTTTAAAGAAAAAAATCATAGAGATGAAACCCTTTAAGGAAAATGTTCCAGAACTGAATTCCTTTATAAAAAATGCTTCAGAAGTGAATTTCTTTATAAAAAATGCTCTAAAAATGAATTCATTTATGAAAAATGCTCTGAAAGCGAATTTCTTTATAAAAAACACTCTGGAAGTAAATTTTTTTATAAAAAATGCTCTGAAAGCAAATTCCTTTATAGAAAATGCTCTAAAAGTGAATTCCTTTATGAAAAATGCTCTGAAAGCGAATTCTTTTATGAAAAATGCTCTAGAAGTGAATTCTTTTATAGAAAATGCTCAGAAAGCAAATTCCTTTATGAAAAATACTCTAAAAGTGAATTCCTTTATGAAAAATGCTCTAAAAGTAAATTTCTTTATAGAAAACGCTCTGAAAGTGAATTCCTTTATAGAAAATGTTCCAGAAGCGAATTCCTTTATGAAAAATGCTCTGAAAGTGAAATTCTTTATGAAAAATATTTCAAAAGCAAATTCTTTTAAAGAAATCATTCCAGAAGTGAAATCCTTTAAGAAAATCATTCTGAAAGCAAATTCTTTTAAAAAAAATGCTTTAAAAATGAATTTCTTTAAGAAAACGCTATTAAATACATTTTTTTTCAAAGAAAAATATCACTGAGTTTGTTTTCTTTGAAGGAAATGCTACCAGGTTCATTTTCTTTAAAGAAAATGTTATCAGGACTATTTTTCTTCAAAGAAACCGTTACTGGTGCTATTTTTCTTCAAAGATAACATTACTGAAGTTATTTTCCTTCAAAGAAAACATCATTGAGACCATTTTTCTTCAAAGAAACGTTACTGATGCCATTTTTTTTCAAAGGAAAAAATATGTGATAATTTAGTCTATGTGAATATGCAATTCCACCTAAGCAGTTACTGGTGAAATAATAGGACTCATTATTGAAGAAGTTTTTCTTTCATATCCTTCATTATAATAGTAATAACCTTTATCACGTTCACTATATTCATTATATCCACCATATTCATCATAACCATCATCATCCGATTCATCCCTTCGGTGTATCTCTTCTTCAGAATTATCAGAATTAGAATTATCATTGATTGAATTGGAGTTGCCATTATCTGCATTAACAGGGTCTGAAGAATTAAAGTCATAAGATACAGGAATAGGTAAGGTTAAATCACTTACTTCAGCTCGCGTTGCTGAAACTGCCTCCAATGCATTATTCTAGTCATCTGAAATCTCCTCTTCAGATTTGATAATAGAGTCTTCTTGATAATTGGGTAATTCAGTGTTAGGATTCTTAGAGAAATAATCAAAAATAGTTTGAATTTGACTATCAGATAATTCTGATATAGAATTCGCACTATATGTTGTGATATACTTGATTTTATCAATTCCTATTTTCTCAAATAATTTGTATATGCTTCTTGCTCTCTGAATTTGTTTTAGTATTGTGTTGCATTTAGTACCAGGAGAAAGGAGTTTAATAAGGTTGTCATAAATCATACCTTTTACTTTTTTCTCGCCAACTTTATACTCATTCATAAACTCTACAGTCTTTTAATTGAATTCTATAATATAGGAATACCAATACAATAATTCTTTTTGATTAGCTCGAATTGCTTCATCTTTCACATCCCATGCTTCTTGTATTAAGCAGGCTAGATTTTGCAATATATTTGGGGGATTATCTGTATCAGATTTTTCGTGACAGGCCGTCATGGAAATTTCAGTCATATGATTTTTCTCAGGTACTGAAGTGGCTGTGAAATCAAACACATCCTGTACAATATTCTCCGCTTCCCTCTTCTTATGTGATTGAGATTTTTTATCCTTTGTTACAGAAGATGAGTCTTGGATAACTGATTCACGCAATAATTTCTTTTTCCTATTCCTCTCTCTAATCTCATTGCTAACACTTTTCTTATACACTTCACCTAAGAAAGCGTCCGTCTCCCTTTCTTCCATTTATTTGATGTTTATGTTATCACTAGTTGCTCCATTTATGAGCTGATCTATTACAGGATCAGAAGCGAATTGACTCTCAGACTTAGCATCCGGCTGTGGTACAGTTGTTACCTTTGATATCTCTTCTTCTCCAACAGAGCATGAATGCTGTAGTTGCTGAGGCCTCGTGAGATTGGAGGAATCAAAATCATGTCTTAGTTTGGCTAGTTCAGCTTTAAGCTCAGCATTCTCGGCTGAAATATCTGCACTATTTTTCTCCAATTCCTCGATTCTGATCTTATGTTCGGCATTCTCAGCATCGCGCTTTGCATTCTCCTCAATAATCTGTCTCAACTTCGCATTCTCAGCCTCAACCTCAGCAAACTTTAGTAACTTCTCTTTAAGTTCGGGAATCTCAGCATTCTCCTTCCTAAGCTCTGCAATCTCAGCTAAGAGCTTGGAATTTAATTCTCTCAATGAATCAATGGATTGCATATTCGATAATAATTTTTTATATAAGATGGAATAATTCAAAAGTTCGTTAGCATAGATAGAAAACGAGGTAATATCCTCATCGGAATTATTGATTTATTGATGTAAAAAACAAATTACAAGATTCGGTAATACATAAACTTGTTTTACAAAGTGAAATGACGTTTCTATACTAATGTCTGTAGTTTTTCGCTTGTCTACACTACCATGGTTCGGTTTCATTGTCCCAATCATCAATATTCTGGATAAAACAAAATGCACCACCGAAACTTATGTTGTTTGCATTCCGTGATGCTAGTAAGGTTCTCAGAAGTCTGTACGAAAAATGACATTCGCTTACGAGCCCTGAAGTCGTTTTCTCGTAAATTCACACCGAAAAGAAGTATACTTCATTCAATAACTATTCGCCAACGCCTCTTTCAAACTGCGATACTTCGGTTTCGCTTTAACGAGTTGGCTCGAAGAAAATAATACAAGGCTTCGGTGGTCGCAGTAAGAAAAAAATCTTATGTCGCACAGGCGGACTAATATTACTGCGCAGTTATTTTTTCGGTCGCAAAATCAATCGTGACGTTTAATGAAGATCGTATTATGCAATCTGAGGCTTAGGACGTACGAGACCTGTTTTTAGCTGTTTTCGTACGTTTAGTATTTTTTTTCCTGAAATTATGTAAACAGAAAACTGAACAATAAAAATGAATGGAATGAAAGGCCCGTCAAATAGTCCCCTAGATAGTTCTCCAACAAGGTCTTTATTTGTATTTACTGAAAAATCTGGTTTAAGCCCTGTTTTAACTCTCTATTTTCGCGTTTGCAGGTATACCACCGATATCATGGTATTTTGTTTCGTTCTAGGAGAAGTTCCTGCTATAGAGAACCATTTTGTGGTCGATATTACCGATAAAATCAAAAATATTTCGCATCTTCAAAATGCTATTAAGGAGGTGAAGAAACCTCATTTGAACAATTTCGCTCTGAATGATCTTAAATTGTGGAAAGTTTATATTCCTATTAATGAAAATGAAGCTAAGATGAATATTCTTGATAAACAACCTCAAGAAGTTGATATTGAACGAGATCTCGAAGGCCAAAAGCTTATTCCATCAGATGATGTTCCAAAAGACTTCTGTCAACAACAACCACCTCTAAAGATCATCCACATTATCGTCCAACTGCCACAACCCGCCACCACTGGTAAGTGTCTCCCAATGGTTTACTCTCGAACAAGAAATTTTTAATGATAACTAACCTATTTTATTTCTTATTCGCTTTTACTTTAATAGCGCTTAAAAACTCAAGACTAGGAGGTCTCGGAGGAACAGTTTACTCAGGACAAGAAAATGGTTCTTTCTATGAAGGCGTCGACCTTACTAGTGCTACCACATGTAAAAGAGAATCGACTATTAATAGACTGCTCGAGTGTCTGTTTAAAGAACGCATTATCCTAATTCGGTCACCTTCAATGACTGGGAAGACATCCCTCAAACAACTACTTGAGACTAGGTTGCTCTAATTAGATGAAGTGCAGAATGGATCAGCTCGTGTTTTTCAGATTTCACTAATATGGATGGAAAACTTGATTGATCCTAAATGGACATTTGCGGAGGGATTTGAAAAACTTATGAAAATTACTTGGGATGAGTTTCTCCAACAATGTGGCCATACAAAAACATATTTGATTATCGATGAAGTGCAAAAAATATATAGGCAGGCGAATCAAGAACCTCATCACGGTGGAAATGCATTTTGGAATGCATTTAAGCGCATAATGCAAACCTTACAGCTTTTCATTATAGCGTTGGCCTCATATGGGCACTATGGTGCTTATGCCACTCGTGGAGTCCACTCAGTCATGGACATTTCACCAGTTAATAATCTTACTATGAAAAACAAATGGGGATATAAAGATATTTGCTATACCAAAGAAGAATTTGAAGTTTATTTTAACCAATTTTGTGAAGTACATCTTAAAGAAAAGTTGGTAAAGAAGGACATTCGGTATCTCCTATACTATTTGTCTGAGATAACAGCTTATCATCCAGGTCTAATTTCTTACACTATGAATCACATTGGCGAAAGATTTATCAAATAGGAAAAGGATTCTCTATCTTTTGATGCAATCTTTTCTTATCTAAAATCTCATGATTTTAACGATAGCCTCAAGATAATGTGTCATATTTTCATATTACTTTATAACTAGTATATTTACTAAATTTACAATTGTATAGGCTATTCGTGCATATTATCCAGCTACTGATTTTTCAGACGAAGAAAGAGCGATTGTTGATGCCGTACTCTTTAAAAAAGGGGGTCTCGATTTTGAAACAGCGAGGATTCCAAATGATGGCTGACTTCTTAAAACAAATGCACTTATTGATACAAGTTCACGTATTGCGCTACTCGATTTTCCGGCACCATTGCTCTGAGTAACATACCTTCAAAATCGTTTTGGTACAATAAGCCGACCTAAATCATCTCCTAGTGATTTCAACGAATTTATAAAGTTAGTGTTTGCGAAAATGAGTTCAAAAATATTGCAAAAAAGTAAAGGTAGAGGCACAGATCAACGTCTTCTTGAGCGCGTATGGCAAATGGAATTCTATCGTTCCTCAATGCAAATTTTATCTGAAAATAATTGTGCTTCCGTAGACGCTGGAACATCCTTTGGATCAAGAGGTTATATAGACTTTTATGTAAACGATGACAAAAAGTGGGCGATTGAGATATTAAGAGATGGAGATAGATTGTTAGAACATCAGCAAAGGTTTCAGAAAGATGGTATTTATATCCCTATTCTCAAGCATGCAAAGAAGTGGGCGCTTATCGATATTCGTAATAGTGGAATGAAACCTCCAAAACTAGGAGAACGTAAAAAACAGGACATATATGTTATCTGTGCCGAAAACTTTGAATCTGTCCGGTTGATATATCCTGATAGAGAAGAATCTGTTCGATTATTAGGTGATGAAGAAAATTTGCTTGGATATAATATCTCGGACTTTACAGATGATTCAATGGAAACTGATTAAACTATTCATTCATGTTATATTTTACTGAAAATTGTATTGACTAAAGTAGTAAAATAAAGCTTATTACGTTGCAAATCTTATTCTTTTTTGTGATAAATATGGCGAAGCTTTATTGTTTTGTAAAATATTTTACAGAAATAAACGAATAAAGAGAAATATATGACATGATTTCAAGGGAGGGAGTAAGCGGGATCCCTAGACCATTTAATGTTCGCTTCTATAAACATCAGATTCCCGAAATAATCTATCCATTTTATTTTGTAAAACAAAGATCCGCATCTATACACTCCCGCATTACATAGTTCAAAAATTGAGTTCTGCAAGAGTACTTTTTCGGGATGATAGAATTTCGAATTTATAGCATAAATTCCAATGAGTATATGCTCACAATTTCACTAAAAAATGAGAATCACGCCGACAATGACAATCAATGTGTCGAAAAATTGATTAGCATCATGACAACATTTTTTAGAATCAAGCTGAGAAATCAGAAACTAACATTTATCAAGTTCCGAATCGATTAGCATGCAACTTATATCTTTTTCTACAACTTTAATTTACTATCATAGATGCAACCGTGAAGAATCTTCACGATCAAAAGTCACGTGAGTATTCAAGTCTGTGGTTATGAAAAGCGAGGTATTTCCTTTTTATTAATACAATGTAACATGTAAGAATAAATACGATGGTTATGGACGTAGTCTGCACATTACTATCTATTCTCTGCAAGATTTCTCAATGACTATACCTTTTTCATTCCCCCTTTCCTCCCGCGCTTTCATCTGCTTCTTCAATGATAATAATATAGCCAAGGACCTTCCCTACCTTGTTTTTAATAATCCGAAAAACTTATGTATATGAAAGCAATTGTTCATGACAATCACTTTTGCCAAGAAATTTCTGAGACATTATGTCCTGGAAAAATGCCAAGAAAAAATTTTTATTAATACATGCGAAAAATAAATACATAGTTTGGGACTGCATCTGTGATACAGAAATGATAGATTTTTTTGTATCGATTCATAATGCATTTGCCCAATATATATGCAATTAAGATGTAGTACAGAATTGTCAGGCGATTATATTACATCATTACACGTGATATTTTTCAAGATTTATGACAAGAACATAATATATGCTTTATTTAAAAAATAAAAAAACCTTGCCGGAAGCTGGCTTACATTACATAAAAATTGCGAATATATCACTACATGATACAGAAAATTATTTGGGGTAAACAGTGAAATGTGGTGATAAATCTCAAAATATGTGTGCTAATAAGTAAAATATACGATAATATGTATTCATAATTCTGGTAAAAATTATGTTTAAATTTTTAAATTTTAGGTAAAATTATTAAAGTAAAAATGATTCGCAAAA